AAACATAACACTTGTGCGTTGTCGCTAGTAACACACTAGAGTAGTCTAGAAGTACATATCGGGTCACACCCTTTGCACACCCTCACTAGAAAGACATACTACCAGGGTCTGATCGGGATAGCTAAGTCGTGCAAGATACATCTCATGCTCACGAGGACAAGACTAGGACTTCAAAACCGAGCTATCCTTAAGGTTAATTCCAAACTTTTACACAAAGGACCTTCTCTGACTGTGTATTCCATATCGTATCCTTTAAAAAGATCTTTATGAACATGATGCATGCCAATCAAACTCAATGCATTACATGCACATGATTCCATGATCTCACATTTAACATATTCATCATGTCTCATTACTCATCACATGCCTTCATATATTCATAAAAAAAGTTCAATTCACATCCACATCAACATTATAATATAGGAATTACATCATTAAATTTAATAAAAGTTCAATAGGGAATTCGTAGGTAGGATAAGGCCTACGCACGTCCTACATCCGATGCAATACCTCTAGAGGACCACATTGGTCTCTATCTGAATCATGCCCAATGTGATCGAGTCCACACCTAGTGAGAACACCACCGAGAGCTCTTTGGAGTGTCCACGCCTAGTAAGAGTTAGCTCACACCTGGCAAAAGCATCACATGGAACCCCTGGAACTTTTGTGCCTAGCGAGGGTCATCCCACACTCGACATGAGAGACACCGAGAGCAAACTTTGCTCTTTGTCTCAACGATGCTCAGAATGCCCCAAGTGGTGCTTGACAACATAGCAAAAATCACACATTAGAAAACACAAAAATTATAAGACACACACCAATTCACTAAATACACAATTCAATCCATAGAAGTTTTCCAAACCACATAATAAACATTCTAAACAACATAATTTATGCATATAATTTCATACTCAGACAATCTCTTCGTTCAACCCCCAATGCATTTCTTCAGGGTTCTCGTAGGAACTCACAGGAACATCAAAACATATAATTTACAACCCAATTTGAAAATTACTAACACACACACACAATTCACATCAATTAGAACAAGAAGTAAAACATATACAATTAGGGAAAATCCCTCATACATGAGCATTCAACAAACACAGGACTGGGGTTCAATACTTCTTATTTTTGACCATGTATTATGGGCCTAGTAGTGTAGGATTTGACTATTACTAAGGCTTGTATTTTTTGGGTCTTGTATTTTGAGCCCTATAATTTAGGACTTGTAGGCCTTGTATTTCTTGAGCCAAGTAGAGTAGGTATTTGGTTTTGATGGGCCTTAGAAGTTGGTTTAGTCATTTGGGCCTAAACCCTAAACCCTAAACATGAGTACACATTTAATTTGAATTGGTAGCCATGTGGTCGATCATGTTGTTAGACACACATGGGCTACCAAATGCAAATGCAAATGTGTTCTATATGGCATGCAAATGCACAATTCAAACTGCTAGATCTAGTTGCACATGGGAGCACATGTCAATGCCTTGGTTCACACACCAAATTTGAATTTTGAATTCGAATTTGGCGTGCTACATGCTAGTTTAGCAACTACGGTTCATTTGCGAACCATAGTTAGCTTAACTTCTCTTAGAAGCCACCAAGATCTATAAAAAGGACCCTTTCCTATTCTATTAGACACTTTTTGGAGATCTATGATATTTGAGTGCATTTTCTCTCAAATTTCTCTCTTAGAAGTCCCAATGAGCTTAATTAGTGAACTAGGTTCCATTCCTCTTGCCAATTTATAAGAGATTTAGGAGTTGTCTTGGCTTGATCACCTCTATTGGAATGTTGAACCGAGAGTTCTCTTTGTTCTTCATCCAAATCCGATTCAATCATTAGAAGGAAGCTAAAAGGAAAGTGAAGCATGGTCTGATTAGCTTCAATTGCTTAGCCAAGGTAAGGCTTTTTCCATCATTCCAATACTCGACATACAAACTCATGTCCAGAGCAATGTTTCTCACTCCCCCTTACCTAGATAAGCTACAGACGATGGGTGCATGACTCTGAGGTGATTTTCTTCCTGTTCCTGTTCTCTGAATTCTAAAGTGCGTACATGAAAATAGGGCGTAAAAAGGATTTGATTAGAAAAATCCTCTTTTAAAAATCCTAACCTTCCTTTAACCCTCTAGCTAAAGATTACTAATCACAATTATCCTAAAGATCCATTCGCTTTTTAATAAAATATTATACTATTCTTTAATAAAATATCATATAATATATTCTAAAATATATTACATAATTAAAACAAATATTAAATGGTCCCAATTAATAAAATAAAAATAAAAAAAATTATTAATAAAATATTTATATTATATTTTATGAAAAACGGGGTATTGCACTTAGTGTGTTCAAACCCATGTTCGACCTCATTTAGGTAAAGAGCCTTTGCTTGGCTCACGTCTTGCATCACTCTATTGGTGTTCAACATCATTTAGATAAAAAGTCTTTGCCTTAATCACATTTAACATCACTCAACTTGGGGTTCGATGCTACCAAATCAAAGATCTCTCCTCTAACTCATGTCCATCACTACCAATGACGCGCCCAATGTCAGTGAAACAGTGAGCCTCTATCCTATATCATGCTCAGTGACTTGAAATTGTGTCTAACGTGATGATGAATTCTACACTTGGCAGATTCATAAATTTGGCTTATCCGCACTTGAAATTCAAGAAAATCCAACATGTAACACCATAAATCATATATATTTTTCATAAATAGTCCAATTTCAACCAGAAAAACATGCAACAATCATATGATCAAGACACCAATTTTCTCACCAACAAAGCTCAAAACACCAAAATCTCACACATAACAATTTCACTTCCTAATCATCAACACAACCATGAATTTAGATGAAGTCAAGTACATACAACTCTATAATTCATAAAAAAAACTCAATTTCTAATTTCCCTTACCTTTGAATCAATCTAAAAAGAGGTAAAAACGAAGTAGAATGTCCACTTTGAGCTACTTCAAACCACCGCTATTAATTACTTTGATTCTTGGCCCTGAAAGCTTTGAATCCCGACTAAGAAGAATTCAAATTGATCAAACTTATCTCTGTTTATAATAACTTCAAATTTCCTGAAACTCACAAGAATTTCTAAACTCTTAGTGTTTTTCAAACAATTAAATAATAAATCACCACAACACATAATTTAATAAAATCACAATTGTTAATGATGCATGGTGTTACATTTTCTTTCCTAACACATGCACAAAGAGGAGCCAATTATGTTGTCGAAGGGGATACTTCCATAAAATGTAAGTGGTATGCTTTGGGAGTTCATTCTCATGTTTCTCATCATAATAACGAAATCATTATTCATAAAAGGAGTGTTAGAAACACACTCCTCATGGTACACTCTGTTTTATTGGTCAAAATTTATTAAAAATCACAAATTCAAGTGAGAGTTGTTTAATAAGGTTCAAGTCCCAACAAATTTTATGTTTTTAATAAATTTTAACCAATCAAAAAAGTGTGTTAGAAGACGTGTTGCTAACATTTCTCTTATTCATAAATGTGTTTAGTTCTCAACTTAACCTCCATGTGTTGAATATTACCACTTTATAAGTCTTTTAATCTTAGTGGATTCATTTTTCCAAATCTACCTTAGAAAGGTCATGTGAACCAATTAAAGTTATCAAAATCATAGGACAACCACATATATTTTGATAGTATAAATGAGTTGTGTTCAACCAAGAAGGAGTTTATAGTATAATTAATCTTATGGAAGTTACCACCTTCTTTATCTAGTGTTTACACCAAAACTTTTCAATGCAAATCCAAAATCAAAATTTATATGAAAATAAAAGAGGATACAAGCAGAGTGAATGAAGTGTAGGAGGGACAATGAAAAAAATTGATCTTAAAATTAAATTAATCTTAAAATTAAAATCAACAACATTGGCATCATTGGGGCTCAAACCAAAGACCTTCAATGTGTTCGATTGACATGATAACCTACATCATGACACTATTATTGTTGTAGGGAGAGTATAATATATAATTATAGAACCAGTTGTAGATAAGAATGATGGAGATAAAGAGGAGAATAAATTTCATATTGTAAAAGATTGAAAATAAAATATTTAAAAAAACAATTTTTTTATATTATCTAATAAAAACAAGTAACACCAATCATGATATAATAAGAAAATGATTAATATTATGTACACAAACATAATAAATTATATAAAGAAAACAGAACCACTTACTCCAACAGTAAATTTTGGTAGATTTATTTCACTCAATAACTCATGTTTTATATCAAATTTCAATAATTCAATCGTTGAATTAAAAATTCTTAATGTATAAATCAAGTTTATAAAATTTTTAAAAATTTAAAAAACATATGATACAATCCCTCCTTACTTATTTTTTTCATCTACAATTGATATTCATTTTAGAGAAATCAAATTTAATTTATTTTTTGTACTGATCACATTACAAAATTCAATATTTAAACACAATTATTATGATAGTATACAATCTAGCATTCCAACACTAAAAGAAATCTATTTTACCTTCTATGCATTTTTTATTAAAAATTATATTTAAATATAAAACATATATAAAATGTATGCAACAAGGAAAAAAATGAGAATAAAAACAAACTTTAAAATAATTCAAGAGTAATAAAATCATAAATACATTTAAATAGTAAACAAATAATAAGAACTTGAAAAATAAACTAATATATTATTCTTATGAAAAGTAAAATATATTCAAGTTTTGTTTTGTTATTTATAGTGTGTTTGGAAATACGTTTCCACACATTTAATCACGTCCGTCTGAGATAAAAACGTGAAAATAAGAAGCAAAAATATTTTACTTGTCCGTACACACTCTTAGTTTTCACTTTTCAACTTCTCTCATTTGACCTCTAAAGTCAAATCTCATATTTCTTCTTCTCAAACACAAATTTTTGCACAAAATTGGCTCTAATTTACCACCCACCTGTTTGTCCCCCCTTTTCTTTTGCATCCATTATTTTCTCGTTTTCTCTCTCTTCTCGCACCAACCATAATTCTTCGTTTTCCCACTTTCTTTTTCTCCTTTGATTCTTTTCCTTAGAAGATTGGATAATGGGAGACCCATCTGGTAAATTTTGAACCTTTTAAAGGTTTTGGTACCTGGGTCGGAGCAAAGAATGAACTTCAAAAGGAAGGTGGCAGTGTTGTGTTACGTTTGAGAATGAATTTTTGCTATGACATGGAGGGTTGGGTTTTGGATTTAGGTTCATTACCTCCAACCATTGTCATTGAATGTCGATTCCAACTACGATCGACATTTGATTCATCCTTTGTTCGATCCCAACCTTTCTTCATTCCAATCATAAACTAGGCTCCATCCAATAAATATAAATAAACAAAAAAAAGAAACAATTTGTGTTGTTTCAACTACCAGAATGAATTCTGGTATTATGTTGGCATTGCCTCCCATGAGCAATGTGTTCAAGACAAAGGAGCCTCGTGATTTTGAGGAAGACTTTGCGGAGAAAGATCCAACTGGACGATACATAAGGGTATTATGACTTGAGTCACATTAACACCATTTTTTTGTTATTTATTTTTTAGATTCAATTTTTATCAACTTTAGTGGTCATTCCAAATTTTATTGAATGTGTGTGTGTGAAATAATGGTGTTGTTTATTTTAAGGGATGGATGGTTGATGTGTTTTAATAACTTAAGTTGTAGTGAAAATATGCTAGTTTAGCTAAAAAGGTAGGCAAACAAATTAGGAATAAATTTTAAATTGGAGTATTATAGTTTCACATATACTAGCTTTTGAATAAAATGTAATTTGATGTTGATTAGTCTTTTTTTTCCATAACTTTTGAATTACAAACTTTATGATGTGATGGAGGATTTTTTATAGTATTTAATTTGAATAAATTATGTCATGCTAATGACTCTATATCATGTGCTAAAATATACCATGTTGTTCATTTTGAATTAGGGATTCTTTTTGTTAAGCTTGAAAATATTGTTATTATTAGAGAAAAATAGTTATAAATTGCTTATTTGGTATTTGACTTTTTTAGGATATATGTGTAATGAATTATCATGGTATAATCGTGAAAAATATATTCACAAACTAAGTTTTATTTTTTTTATATTATAAACCGTGTTAGTGATTATCATTTTTAATACAAGTGTAAAACTTTTTTCATGCTTAAAGCACAATTAAGGGCATTAATTTCAATATGCTCACATCGTTCAAGGAAACTTGTTTACTTATTTTTAATGATTCTATGATTCATTTGTTCTTTATGCTTGTTATGAATTTGACTTTTTTTTTCCTCTTGTTTTGTCCCAGTACAATGAAATTTTGGGCAGGGGTGCCTTTAAAACAGTGTAAGATTCTATTACCTATTTTTTAAAATTTATTATTATTATTATCATCTCTATTTTGTTATTTTTCTTTCTAGTTTTCAAGTTTATTTTGTTTAATACTTTTTTCTAATTAAAGCATGGTGTTTAATATCTTTCTCTTTTGCAGTTATAGGGGTTTTGATGAAGTTGATGGAATAGAAGTTGCTTGGAACCAACTTAAGATCGATGGTCTCTTGCATTCAATAGATGATATTGCAAAATTGTATTTTGAAGTTAATCTATTGAAGTCTTTGAATCATGAAAATATCATTAAGTTCTATGATTCTTGGATTGATGATAAGCAAAACACTGTTAATATGATTACTGAACTCTTCACATCAGGAAATTTAAGGCAGTAGGTTCTCTTGATTTTCTCCTTTCTATTATGTTATTTGGTTGTAATGGGCACATACAAAATTATTGTACACCTTTGTATGACAGATATCGTAAGAAGCATACATATGTTGAAATGAAAGCTATAAAAGATTGGGCTAGACAGATTCTTCAAGGCTTATTATATCTTCATAGTCACAAACCACCTATTATTCATAGAGACTTAAAATGTGACAACATCTTTGTGAATGGAAACCAAGGTGAAGTTAAGATTGGGGACCTTGGATTGGCAGTTGTCATGCAACAACCAACTGCCCGAAGCGTTATTGGTAACATATTATTTAAATGTTATGTTTTTAACATATTGGCCCCATATGACACTAAATTATGCTTTTGTTTGCCTTTTCCTTATGTTAAAAGGGACTCCTGAGTTTATGGCTCCAGAACTATATGAAGAGTCGTACACTGAACTTGTTGACATTTATTCTTTTGGAATGTGCATATTGGAGATGGTTACTCTCGAGTATCCCTATAGTGAATGCAAAAATCCAGCTCAAATCTTTAAAAAAGTTACCTCGGTGAGTAAATCAATTGTCAACATATCCTTATTAGTTACAATTGCATGCATGTAAGATGAATAATTTAACTCATGTATATAATATTGTGATGTATGTCATTATAGGGCATCAAACCTGCTTCCCTTAATAAGGTGAATGATCCTCAAATTAAGGAGTTTATTGAGAAATGTTTGGTTCCAGCATCTAAAAGATTGTCAGCAGAAGAGCTTCTTAAAGATCCATTTCTACATGTTGAAAATGTTAAGGATCCCATCCTTTTCCCTCCACAACCACCTAGCAGAACACTAAGAGCTATGTATTCATTCAAGTCTAGTTCTCAATCTATGGACATGGATGCTGACTACAAACAATTTTCTTTGAGTATTTGTTCTGAAAGAAACCAAGGAAGCTCACATTGTCCTGTTTTTGAAGTGCAAAGGGCAAATAAAAATAATGAATTTAAGTTGAAAGGGACTAAAAATGATGATAACTCAGTATCATTGACATTGCGTATTGCTGACACATCTGGTGAGTATTTGGTATTTTCTTTACCTTCACTTTTTTATTTTATTTTATTTTATGTTTCAAGGTGTGGTAACCGATTAGATAACACCTTAATTAGTTTTTGACATGTTTTCTTATGCCTTGAATTTTGACATTTGAATGGTGTTTGTTGTTTTATTAGCAGGTCGAGTAAGGAATATACATTTTCTCTTTTACCTTGATACAGATACTGCTGTCTCTGTGGCCACAGAGATGGTTGAACATTTGGAGTTGGCAGATCATGATGTACCTGTTATAGCTGAGCTTATTGATTACTTGATAATGAAACTTCTTCCTTGGTGGAAACCCTCACCTGATCATTACTCATATGGAGAATTAAGTCTTTATGGTCCAAATATAGATAGTCAAACCTTTATGGCATGCCCATGGGGTTCTGTCCTAACTGGTATTCCATCTGAATCTGTTATTGACCAAGATGATTTCTCTGGGATTGACATAATTCCCAAAGATGATTTTGTGGTAGCTAAAATGAGTAGTTTTTCAAAAAATGTTGATAATGCAACTTTTGATGGTGATTATAATTCTTCTAATTTAGTTAACTTGGAAGACCGATATTCACAAGGATCTAGAGCTTATGAGATGGATGCTGGAAATACTAATGTGAAAAATGATAACTATCATGATTCTAATGTTGATGTAAGTTTTAAATGCTTAAGTAGGTCTATCTCTAAACTTGAGGATAAAGATGCATATTTTGAGGACTATAAATTGCAAGCAGAAGATTATTCAATTGGGGAAGAAATAGTGGTAAATGAATTTCCAACAAACATGGGGGGAGTTCTTGGAGCATCTACTAATGTTGAGAGTCCAACAATTAGTTGTTCTTATTTATCTTCAACAGATGAAGACATTGATCTTGAGTTAAAATTTGAACTTCATGTAATCGAGTCGCATTATCAACATTGGATTGATGAACTTAATAAAATAAAGCTAGAGGCATTGGAAGCCACAAAAAGGAGATGGATGGCCAAGAAGAAATTGGTTGTTCTTTGATTTTGAGCATGCTAGTTAACCTCTTTTTTACCCTTGTCGAATTTGCTTCATTGTAAAGTTTGTGATCTTAATTGTAATTTCTATATTGGATGTGGCTCTTTTTAGTGGAAGTGAGTGTTCTTACTCTCATCCTTTTTTTTATTCATTGGAGATATTTTTCAATCTCTCATTGACATAATTAATGTAGGAGAATGTGTCTTAAGAAAATTTATAATTCTAAAAGACACGTTTTAATAGAGATTTTTTATTATTTGAGTATATTATTCATTATTATAGCTTTACATGTTACGATTGTTGCATGTCATAAAACATCTCTCTCCTCTAAAGTAAGAATGTACAAATATAATCAAATTAAATGTTTTACTTTTTGTGTAACAGGAAAACCAACATTCCTTTACATTTGTTGAAAAATAAATATTTCTTTTATATTTAATTAACCAAATTTAATAATAATTTAAATCTAATTTTCTTCGATCACATTTAAATTTTAACCAACTAATACAAAATAAAATTTAAAAAAAAAAACTCTTGATTTTTAAGATTCAAGTATGAAAACTATGATTCATCTTTACTCTTAAATTTAAGAACTAGATAAATATGCAATTTAATCATAAAAATAAAAACATGTGATTTGAAAATGTTGTAGGTTCTAATATCAATTAAATTTTAGCCATCCATTTCTTAACTTCAATTTTTGTTTTTACGATGATGTTAATTAATTAATAAAAAAAATATTAACAATACACTTTAATGATTTTTTCCTCATATATACTTTTTTCTGAAGGCAATCATATTTAAAATATGATTGGATATTAAACATATATACTCTCAATATACTTTCTAATATATGACAATACATTGTTTTAAATTGAAATTCAAGTAAGTTTTCAGCCCACCCCAACTAAAACAAACTTCAATATATATATATA